AGATAGTGTATCTTAAAATAGACATTTCAGTATATCCTATGCATCAACTCTGATGAGACAAGTTCGCAATTCGCTGATTTCTTTTCAATTAGGATTCTATTTATCATGTAGAATCTAATGAGCTATGATTACCCTGAACAAAGTTTGGATGCTTAGCTTATTGATTCTGAGATACTGCATGTTTTACTATATTTTTCAACTCCATGTCATTGTTCTACTCTGAAACAACGCGAAAACTGATTTTCGAATGTTGACATGAAACTTAACAAATTAGTTGCGCTCATGGAGAATAGTTTATTGTGAAAGTTTCAGGCTTTTTGATTTATTCCTATCTTAAGATATAACTATGATAATAGGGTATCTTTTACATCGCTCAAGTAGACTGATACGTTAGATGCTCTTATTTCAGCATAGGAGCAAGTCAAAAGCTCTGAAAACTTTTTCAACAGACCATTCTCATTCAAGCCTGTCTGCATGCAACATTTCGATTCGAAATTCGAAAATCAGTTGGCCTTGTGTTCCTAAATGCGACCATTCCATTCTATTAAAAAACTACATATTGAGTAGGGTCTCGATTTAAAAGCAACTAATTAGTTATGAGGCTTTGCTTGTGAGTTCTAAAATAGAAGATAGAACTCTAAATTTAAGAAAATGTTTTTCGTCAAAAGTAGTAAAACCTTCTTCAAATAAATTTGTTCGTACTTCTATTTAAATATAAATTACAGATCTCGTCTCAATCTAATCAGGTTTATTTTCTCGTCAGAAGAAGGGATCTAAACGAACATGGCATGTAGTTATTCTTATAATAATCTAGATTTAACTGATGAATTAAAGTTTATACAAACGTTATTAGCGATTACATATGTTAGCTTTATAATTTTGGCATCAGTTGATCCTACTTTGGCTACTGAAATATTTTCAATGTTGAGAAATACGTATAAATGTGATTACAACTTAATTTCGAAAGAGATAAGTCACTAATTGAACTCTTTCTGATCATCAAGATGTTGGGACATATTTAAAGTAGCTGTATTTGATATCTTATAATCATTATCTTCGAAAACTTTCTTTCAATAATTCTTTTTTATTGTTCTATAAAATCCAATTGTACATTAATAAACTTGTTTGTTCATGCTTGTATCGTATCTTTTGTTTGACGACTTGATTGAAGAATCTCTTTTATATCAACTAAATTATCTGAAGATGTTGTATTTCATTTGAACTATTTGTCGTCATACAAAAACTATTAATTAGTACTCTGATTTTATTATTTTTTTATTGTTACTATAATTGACTTCATTAGATTTCTGTGCACCATGTTCGTACAATTCAATAGTGTAATCAAAAAAATCGTGAAGGTCTTTCAGTGCCGGCTAATACAAAGGGCAACTATACATGAAATATATTGATCTTTAATTAAAACATCCTTGTATTTGTTGAAATCAAATAGATATATAATAATTTTCAAAGAAAGTACCTAGTTTCTAGTAATGATAAAAAGAGAAATAAAGGTTTTTGCTTTACTCAATATAATGCAATTTATTGTTACATAAGATACATAATAGAAAAGTAAAGTGAAGACTATAGCTACGAATATTAAATCACAAATTGTTTAAAGTAATAGAAACAAAATAAGATTAGAACTTGGGAGAGAACATTCCCAAGTGATCCGCTTCGTTTGCCTTCATATTATGCCCATATGTAGGAAATCATTCGATTAGAATAATCTCCAAAAGGTTCGTACTCTTATTGAGATTTGATCGAAATATTGCATTTTTAGTTGATTTGTGCTGTATGAAATTAGTTTTGGAGCGAAATCATATCTTCCAATGTCGATCGGAACTTTTGTCAACATGGAGATCTTGCTAAGACTAGGCTATGCATAAAGTTTGATCATCTTTAGAAATTGCATCTTTCAAATATAAATTTTTCAAAAAAAAAAGGCACTTTTCTATAAATGTAGTGTAAAACATGTATATTTTGGACGATTCATATTTGAAAGATGCAATTTCTAAAAATGATGAGATTTTATGCATGAGCTAGGCTTAGCAAGACCTTCATGTTGACAAAGTTTCAGGTCGAAATTCGAAGATATGATTTTGCTCCAAAACTAACTTCATACAACAAAAATCAACTAAAAATTCAATATCTCGATCAAGTCTCAATAAGAGCACGAATCCTTTGGAAGTTATTCTAATCGAATGATCTCCTACATATGGACATAATATGAAGACAAACAGAGAGGATTACTTGGGAATGTTTTCTCATTAGTAAAATAAAGAAATAAAAGGATCGCGTAATGGGATACGTAATATTATTTAAGGAAACACATAACATAAAATTTCGAAAGAATTACCCTCAAATGAATTTACCACTACTAAAAGTATTTTAATAAAAGTTGACATTTATGTTAAAACATAGGTCGAAGAAAATATAAAGAACAAAATGTTTAGTAGAGCAGATTTGCCATCAGCAGAGTGTTTTCATGATCGGTATCGGTCTTAACAGTCAGATCAACATGAGCCATTCTTCAGTTTCTTACCCTATAATGATCATATCTGTCTCTTAATCACTACAGTAATGGCATAAAAGCTCTGCTTCACTATTGTTACACTTGTCACTATTTATTTCCATAAGTTTTCTTTCTTTTGGCTTGTATCAAAAAACATAAAACTTTATATGACTACGAATTCTATTTTCCAGTCATTCCATATGAACCATGATCTACCACCATACAAGGATGCTTAGTCACACTCTTAGATTTTCAGGTCGAAAAAAGGATGATCCAAGATGGCTGCATAACTATTAGGGTGAGGATGTGAGTGCGGTATATGCTATCATTTTGTTCACACTCATATCTTGTCCAACTGACTACACAACAGTAAGTGTAAGATTTAATGTAAGATTTCGATTTTCATTCTTATTGAAAGACACAGATAAAAAGATGAACGTAAGACTACCTTTAGAGAATTGTGTCTTCTAGAACATCAGGAGCTGTGAGTGTCGATGCATGGATGTGGGTGTGCATAAATGTGGTTATAAGTGTCTTCTCTTCGCCTAGATACCATCAGGCACAGCCCACAGTCATAGGCACGTGGTAAATCATATACTCACGCCCGCATTTACTAACAGCCACACTGAAAGTCAGTCGACTCAAACTCAACTCTATCCATATTAAGCCTACGTTTTCATCATCTAATTTCATACCTATAAACCATATTATAATCGTCTCTATCATCGTTGTTTTCTTTCTCCAAGTTGATTATGCTTACTTGAGTGTCAAACTCTGTGAGACGAATGTCCTGTATGTGTGTTTACGTTGAACTGAATAACGAAAAAATCGGATGATTGAATAGTCGAATACTTAAAGCTTCGGTATTCAAGTATAAAGTGTTCAAAAATGGAATTGCAATTTGACATATATGTAGTCCTAATGTAGCAAAATTTAGAAGAAAACTCTTTTAAGTAATAAGTTGCTTTTGAGTTGAGACTCTGTGCAGTATTTAGACCCAAATGAGCTAAGAATGTCTTGAAAAGGTTTCGTACCCATAACTTATTGTTAAAGAGATGCTGCATGCTTACGATAATGCATAAAAGAATGCCATGGTCTCCCCCAGGAACACCAGGGTAACTTATTTGCGAATTTCGACGTGAGACTTTGTACAGACACAGGCCTTAATGAGAATAATTTTTTATGAATATTTCAGATCTTATCGCAGTGCCTATCTTAAAGTACAAGTATGTTAACAATATGTCTTTTATGTCGCTCGTATAAACTATCAGCAAGTGTGATGTTCTTATTTTAGAGTAGAAAAAAATTAAAAGAGCTGAAACTTTCACAATAAACTATTGTGATTAAGCTCGTTTCTATACAAAGTTTCAAGTCAAAATTCGAGAATGAATTTTTCTGATGTTTCCGAGGGAGCCATAGCACATTCACTTCAACAAAACTGTAAAAGTGTTGCATCCCTGTAGCAATAATCTAAGAGCATGAACTCTTTTCAAGGTATTACCAGCTTATTTGGGTCTACGTAATGCGCTTAGCCTGGACTCAAAAGCAATTTATCAGTTGGAAGAGTTTCCTTGTTAAAAGGAGAGTCTTCTATTTGTCATCGTTCAATCGCCCTACTCTACTGAGATTCACATGAGGGTATGAGTGTGGGTGTGAGTGTAGGTCCACTTCTTACTTTCACCCACACTCATTCTTTTCTGAATTACTAATATTTTCATGAGATATTTTCTTATACACTCCTGAGCATCCCTCAGTCTTGAGATCTTCGTACGGTTTCTGCTTATATTAACAGGAGATATGCGATGAAAGAAACGAAATATGAGCAGTGCTAATTTTAAGTTAATTCTTTTGTCGTGTGTTTCCGTATTTTTTTCATTTTTCTCACTAATATTTTGTATAATTCTACATTTCGCTTTACTCCTGCATGATATAGCTTGTCATTTTTTGTCTTGAAGGTATATGCAACTAAAAATTTTGATAATTATAGCACATGTTTTTTTGCATTGTTCTTCTCTTATCGCATTTAATATTAAATAAAATTTAATATTTGACTGATTTGGAACATGAGATTCCATTTTATCGAATAAAACTCAGCTAGTGTGTCTCGAATATCGCGAATTTCAACTTGTGGACTTCAGAATGTGAAATCAATGTTAGTTGAAGTTTTACTAATCAAAGGATGCTGAGAAATGAATGGAGTTGAAGAAAGCAATGATTGAATTGCACGAAAATTGACGCAATCACATACGACATCTTTTGAGAGCTATTTCACATTAACAAGCAACTTTGGTGAAGTATGGACTGTAGACTTGCATTTGGTTTACTTTTGACGATCAGAAAGTTGCATTAAAAGAAAATATGTGAGTCAACGAGTCGTGTCTTTTTTGTTCTGTTGTGAAAATTACACATTGCTGATGCAACGTTTGACAATTATTTGATATAAATAGTTCGAAGAAACAAAGAGTAATATAGCATAGTATTGATCACCATGTATCCCGCTATTTCCAATCGATTAGAATCGTTAAGCAACGAATTATTACTTGATATTTTTGAATATCTTGATGCATACAACTTGTATCAAACTTTTTACGGATTGAATCATCGTATTAATGATGTTCTTCAATCTGCTCATTTACACATTCTTTACGATTCATCAAATGAAAACAAAACTTGTTGGGATACACTTATATCCTCTGTTAATCCATCACAAATCCGTATATTATCTTGCTATACGGATATTAACATTGATAATCATTTTTTGTCTTCTGCTAAACAATATCTACGGTCCGTTCGTTTATGTGGAATGAATCGACAGTCAATCAGCACACTATTGCAGCATTTTCCAAGTGATAATCAAATTAGACGTTTATCTATTAGAGAACATTCGCGTTCTACAAATCGAAATAGTGATTCTCTCTTTGATCTTATATTAGTCGATAATGCTCATCGTTTTACCTCACTTGTTAACCTTTCATTATCATCTACTCGCTATATGAATGTTACTTCGGTTGCTTCAGTTCGATTTTTACAGCTTCGTCATCTATCGATTAATAACTGTTGGTGGTCAACAAATTTTCTTCAATTTCTTCATAATAATGTACCAAATCTCAAATCACTAAAATTTATTGGATACTATAACTTGTTGAATCTACCATCGGATTTTGCTTTGAAACATGTTGATGAACTGCATTTGAATCACTTCAGTAGTTTCGCCAGTCTGCAAAACATACTTTCTGTTTTTCCTTGTTTACGTCGACTCTATATAGGTCAGGGAAATAGGCGACAATCTGCAGTCATCAGTGGTATTCAATGGCAGCAGTTGATTGAAAATTATTTGCCTAATTTGAGACAATTAACTATTGATTTTGGTGACGGAATTGATGAAGATATTGTAAAAGCATTCTATACAGGTGAATTTTGGTCAACAAAAAAAGTCAGTGTTAAGATGATAATTAACAAAACACAATCTCGATATCGACTTGTCAAAACAATTTATTTTGGCCAACAATGGCAGTTTAGATATTTTGACAACTTTGAATTGTAACATGTATTACATTATGAACTAATGATTTATGAGAAATTTATTTCTGAATAAATGTTAATGTTTTGCTATCTATATTTTGCATGAGTAGATTATTTCATCGTCAAAATGACAAACTGAACATTTTGAATTTTTTTTAATGATTAAATTCAATATTCTTTGTGAGAAATGATGAGCTATTGATACTGTGTTTATGCCTATGAGAAGTCATTGTTAAATAATTAGATTAAAAACAAATTCCAGATAATAAATCATTGGTACCAAATGATTCAGCATGAAGTCAAAGTCTATTAAACGATTTTCTTTTAATTTAGTTGTAAAGTTTTATAAAATTCTTTGCTTTTTCACAAAAATTTGTTTCCATTTTAGACGAGAGCGCTTATATAAATTCAACTTGATCTAACGATGCTAAAGAACTATTAGAAGTCATTGTTTCGCAATTAAACAATGTTAAAAACAATAAAATTGAAATTTTGCAAATATTAACTCATTGAAGATTAGTGTATGGAATTCTGTACTTACGAAGTTATGGCCGAAAACAAGTGTTGCATTCATTTTTTGTTGCAAAAAAATGTTGCGTCTTATGGTCAAAGTTGTCCCAGAAATTGCCTTTCTTCATTCTTTAAACGCTGCAAACGGCTGAAGTCCAATCGATCTCAAACTTTCAGTCAATGTTCCAAAGTATATGATCAATCATTGCTCGTAGCACTGAATAGCGCTAGTCAACATGAACTGAGTTCGTCGTTCTGAAAAAATCGCTGGATTTTTTGTCCCAAGTCCTGCCTTCGTTCTTGAAATCGCATTCCAAGACAAAAGCAAGATCATATTTACGGCCAATACTTGAGATTGCGTCCGGTGATCTGTTGCAGAATATATTTTCTAACCAAAAAATGTTGTCAACAAATGTGTGTGAGGACCCTTGACAGGTAGTTTTTGTGAAAAATGTTCTTTTCAACGAAAATTACATGTCCACCTGCTATGCGACAGCTGATCAATGTGCTAGTAGATCTCTAGAAAACTAAGAAAAGTTTGAAAAGAATCGGTCTCATGATCTAGTTATGCAGAGTTACGGTCGTTTAACTGATTTTTTTTTCATCCATAACAAGGCATTTCTAAATAAATCGAAATAAAAAAATATTGATTGGAAATTTTCCTATAGATGCTACTATATAGAAAAAAAAACATTACCTGACAAAGTCATTAAATCGAATATTCCATTAGACAATACTCAATACGTAAAACATCCTATATTTTCTGTAATTTTTCAAGGAAGATTCAATATTTAAAAAACATTAAATCTTGTATTTGCAAAAGTTCGTAGTCGGATGCCAGGAGTTACTAGAATGATAATAAACATCTGATATTTGAAAGGTTTCACCTTCTAAATATGTAAGTAAAATCAAACCACAGATTAAATAACAAATATTTATTCATACAATTCTAATATATTTTACGTTATTTAAATTTTTTACGACAGCAAACACAATAATAAGTATAACTAGAAAACTAACTTATGGATTAATTCAGAAAACAAAATCAGTGTTAGTTCTTCCAGTATTGATAAAAGTTTGTGGATATATGAAATAGTTGTTCGATGATTAATGGTTTAGTCAAGACTTTAAATTTTTGTGTTTGCAATATAATTATTATATAAATAGCAATAAATCATTCTTAGATTAAAAACAATTATTTCATTTATTCATGATTCATCAAGTTCTTCTGGTTCATCAGTGAAAAGATAAGTAATGCCGTAGAAAATAGTCGTACGATTAGTTAGTCGATCATACACATGTGCATCTTTCTCACTAAGCAACAGTTTTATTGTATCGCAAATGATATTGTTAGGTTGAATTACTAAAGAAAATGCATTCTATTTTTTGGCGAACATCCACTTTAAGATTAGTATCAATCACCAATTTTAGGTTGTTCAACTCTTTGAATATAAATTTTTCTTCTAATCTTAAACATGCAGCAACATTTTCCGTTAGAATATCGGTTGTTTACACATATCATGATTGCCTGAAAAGTAAAAAGGAATATCCATGAGAAAACAAACTGGTTTCTAGCAACAAAATTCGATATGAAATTATTTGTAAAAATAATTGTAATGCGTTAAGAATCTAAGAAATGAATGGAAATAGTCAGAAATTACCAGAAGTTATCAGAATCATCAGAGCTATCACACCAGAAAGGTTTTGAAAAACTACTGAATATCATCAGACTCAAGTTAAAATTGAAGCACTGTTTTCTACTGATATTGGCGAGTTCAATAATTTCTCGTTACCTCTCCTTAATGTCTCGGGATTTTCAAAAGTCTTTATCCGTTTTTGATTACGAAGGAAATAAACAATTTGTACTACTTAGTAGAAATCATGGCAAAACAGCTCGTTCCGTCTTCGAAACGCTCGAGTGATGAAAGTCAATGAGTTTTTTGAGGAATCAAAATGGGGTACGTGATCATATAGGTGCGGTTTTGCAATCGAGGAAAACGTAACAACGTGATGATATGATATATCAACAACCTCAAAGTAACAATATTCTCTAAATAAGAAGAGAGAGTAGCAGTTGCTTTTACACTGGTAAGTTCAATCCATTTTGAATGATGATTTAAATATGCACACAGTGTTTGTATGTAATAACCATCCAGAAGGAAAAAAAAGTGGCACATTGATTAGCCGTATGTTGCGATGGTAGTAGTGGTGGTGACTTTAGGCTTATTCGATTAAATCAGAATAACAACATAAATTGGTGAAAACATCGCAAGCTTATTTATTTTAATTATTTATCCCTATTTTAATAGAAAGCTATTTTATCATAAGATTTATTTATAATAAACTAAAGTTCAATATTTATTTAAATATTAAATTATAACTGACAGAACTGTAAAGAGAATGATTCAATGATTAAATATGTTATTCAATCGAAATCACACTGATTAAAAATAAATCTTCTATGGTCAATTGAAGTTTAGCATTATTCTATACAATTACGATTCCAGCATAAACTCTAAACGGACCTTAGATATGCCATATTAATTATATCTTATGAAACATCTGATACTTTGATATATGTCATACCTGTAGAAGATGGTTTCGAAAACAAATAGTTTTGCTCCGATTTTGTGAGCCCTAGTAAAAAATTATCATCTCAATTATTTGACATCTATGAGAATAAGAATGTAAATTAGTTTTATAAATGAAAAACAATTTTTTATACTACTTATTAGCCTAGATTCACATACCCTGATTTGAAATAAAATATGGTAAATATGATTATTTCGATGGGAAATGTTTCTTTTTTTTTCTTGTTTGTTGTTCTGTACAAGAATGAATATGTGTTTAGTAATCGCCGATTATCGGAGCAATGACCTCACTTTTATCTTAACTAGACCTGAAGTAAAATGAAACTTTAAAATTCATTCAGTCTGACTTTATTTAAGTCATTCCTTTACAACGTCTTCTTTTCCAACACAGTTAAATAAATAAACAATAATAAGAAACAGCTAATTAATGAATCGATTTTTTTAACACGATTTACCTTCGTCAAAAGATGTATTTGAAGTCAATAGATAAAAAGATTACATTTTATTCTTAGATTAACTAATTACTTAATTAATGTTGTTAGTTTAATGAGAGTTTACAAAATTTTAGAGGAGTATTTCATTCAATATATTCAAACAGATTTCCATCGAAGCATTTTTATTGTAAATCATGAGATTATGCATCATCCGAAGTGAATCGACCCCAAGTCGATAGTTTCCCTCTTCCGCTGTAATATTAAAAGAATTTTCAATATATTTTGTTCGTGACGGAATTCACTTCTACAAATTTTAAGCATTATTTTATAGTTTTTTTTCTCATATTGCTAATGATTTTCTGAAAATCGACTGACATTAATTCTTTGCGTTGATGCTTTCATTAATTGAAATTTGCATTAGCTGAAGTGAAATAAATAGATAAGACTTGAAAAAATGACTCTTCATATGTATATATTTATATGTATCTACTTCTCTGTTTGATGAAAATTTTGTTTTTTGTGTCTTCTAAGTAGAGGGACAGCTATTGGCATGTGAACTATTCATTGGTGAAGAGATAGGTTTTATTTTCTATTTTTCATTTAAAAACATGATTTAATACTATAGTACAATAAAAGAATGTCTAATACAGATTCAGAAGATAACTATCAATCTATCTCCGAAAGAGTTATGATACATTGACCTATGGATAGGCTTAAAAGATTTCATCTAGAACTAATTAATTTTGGCTTATGATCATTAAGAAAACGAATCAAAAATTTCAACTTTACTTCTAGTGATCACTTTCTTGATACTGAAGAAGATGCTACATGACAAAATATTCATGAAATTGCATTGAATCTTCGATTGATCTTTGTTTTATCTTTAGAAATTCAAGTTTTTGTTTTATGATGTATACTAAGTCTTAATTAAAATTAATCAAGTTTTCTATGCGAATAACTTCTATGAGAACATATTTGTTTTACACGTACTCATTCAGTTGTTCAGCATGAACACTAAAACGTAAAGTTGGATAATAAAAGCACAAAAGAGAGTCTGTTAATTTGAATTTATTGTGAAAGAATGTTATCTTAATTCAGATTTACTACATCAATTCTGAAATTTTTTCAAATGAATCCATAGATGTTATAAAATATTTTTCAATCCAATCAGTTCTTCAATCTCTAGAAGATGATCTTCTAAATTCAATCCTTGAATTCTGAAATTTTTATCAATTTAATTCAACATACCTCATTCAATTCATAGCTTGAATTGATTTGGGCTGATCGTTGTTGAAAAAATTGTCCATTTTGTTTAAATCGTTGATAAACTGTTGTCTACTTTTGTACTCATAGCAATGGTTCTTAAAGATTTCAATAAAAATTAATTAAAGATTAGCATGTGAAAAAATATGAATGAATCATAATGAATTTTGAAATAGCTTTGTATCTCAGTACTGTGCAGCTGTTTGGTTTTGTTTCAATCGAGTTGAAGAAAGAGAAAAGCATTATTTGAAGTATTATAAAATATGGAACTCTTCATTTGATTTTATTTATACATCCAGTCATTGTTTTAATAAAAATGATTATTTATCAATCATGCTTATCAAATTCACAGTGTTAAAATTTATGGCACCTGTATATTTAATCATTTTCTTTACATATACTCAAATGATATCTGTAATAAAAACAACGTAAAAATAATGTTCATAATAACAGTTACTTATTTTCTGAATCATTTGTAAGGTCATTCTTCGGAAATAATTCTCGGATCCTAAAGTTTAATATTCGTTATCCAGATGATCAACTATCCATGTTTTTTGTGTNTTCACATTTCATAACTCCTGCTAGAAGCAACTTGGGCACGAACTAACTTAGGGTATATCACTTCTAGCTATGCCCTATCTAACCATCATATCCCCGACTGAAAAGCTTTTTGACACCTCGGGTGGTTCCCTCGTAAGACCAGTTTTCTGGCATCTATTTGAAGATTTTTGGAAATCATTTTATTTGATAGAATAAAATGAGATGTCTCGCCTTTCTTCACCAGAATGGATTCAATTTGCAAAAGACACAAGACGCATTTTTCTTTTGTTTTTCTGAAAAGTTTCAATGATTTCGTCGTATTTGACGCTTTTAAGTCTTCTATTAATTAAATGCAGTTCGATGAACAGAGACGAGACATCTTATTATGCTCTATCAAATAAAAACATTTTTGAAAAGTTTAAAAAGAATGTCACAAAACTAGTTTTGAAGACCTTAATTTTTCAGTTATTCTCCTTCAAGCAGTATTATTGGAGTTTTTAGATCCATCGATCTTGATAGAAGATTCTTTGAGCTACTGAAATGTTTTTCTTCGAACTCTTGCTAGTTGTAAGCATCGACAAGAAAACTCAAAAAAAATACAACTGCTCTAAACTTTTATTTGTTACTCTACTTTATATATCAAATATATATGATCCATGTTAAATTAAAATAAGAAAAAAATACTACTCAAAAAAACATAAGCTTACAGTACGGCTGTATAGCATCACCCTACCTTTTAATTTTCAGAGTAGGGTAAGAGTTAGAAAATTTTTCTCAGTTCTAATACAGCATAAGAAAAAAATTACTCTAAACGTCTCTAGCCTAAAGATCCTCTTTTATTTTTTGCTTTAGTCGGAGCTTGCTAAGACAAACTAGATATCAATTGTGACCATTTGCGACATCTACAACTTCCTAGCTTTAATTAGATTTCAATTAAAGTTAAACATAATTTTATATAAATAGATAAGATCAATTCTTTATTCTCATTTGTTTTTAATTTTTAATAGTTCTGTTTAATTTTGTCTAAATACTCAGCTTTGCCTGACACATATATGTCCTTACATTTACACTTTTTGGTTCATCAGATCCTGGTATAAGAACTGATGGTTCATTTTTATCTGTTCCTTCAATCTAAAACAGAGAAAAACAATATTCATTTTTTAATCAAATACATATCTTCAAAATTCAATTCTACTTGAAGAAAACAATTTGTTGTATGTCCCATACCAATTGGTAGTATTTTTTCTCTTAACATAGCATTCATAACCGTACTCTTTCCATTACTCGTTCTAAAAGAAATATTTATTTATTTATAAAAAAAAAAGGAAAAAGTTGAATTAGTTAACCTTCCAAAAAACACAACTTTCATGTGATCACGAGATATAATTGATAATATCCGACTAACTTTTTCTTTTAATTGCTGGATTTCTTTATATTGATCATTAGTTATTAAATTTCGATCAGATTTTATTACATCTATGTAAACATTAAAAAAATCATAGATTCTATTCAAATAATAATAAACAAACCATTAAGATATGTATTTGAATCATTAACATATGATGCAATATTTTTAAAAATTTCAGTTATCGTTATTTTTGCATGTGTAAATAATTTCAATGGAGAATGACCATCTAAATAGAAAACAACAATATATAATCATATTATAGTTTTTTTTTTTATTATTTATTAACTAAGTAAATTATTCTGACGAATCGATCCAAATGCTGTCGGTTTCTCACGTATAATACTGTCGGACATTATTATTTATCTAAAACAATCAAAATAAACAAGAAACAATATAATTTGGTTTCGCATTTTTCTAAAAAAACAAAAGAAAAACATTGATGAATACTAAGAACTGTCAATGAATAATCATAATAAACTCACGTTTATTTTTCTTAAAAATGATAGGAATATAGTTTCACGGTCTACTCTTCTCGTCAATAACATAATAAATTTAGCAACGTCTTTGGTTTCTTATATAAACCTCGATACAAAATGCTAAACTTTTATACTAGAAGAAAAATTATTATTCTAATTACGAGATACATGTATTCATGGTAAAATCTTGCAGAGCAAGTTATTCGAATTTCTTTGTAAATATTTTTATTTAATCTACAAATAATAAGTATTTGTTTTTTTATTTGAAAGGGAACAGAGGTCAATGTGTTCGCAAATGAAACAGTAATTGACACAAATGTAAAGTACAGTTGATCATAAAATCAGACTTTGAAATTCAATCATTTTGCCATTCGACATTTTCTATCCAACTAAGATAGCATGCAAGAGGGCGCTCATGTATCGCTGACCACGGCATGATATTCAACCAACCAACAATTGCAAGAGTAATTTTTGAAATAAAAATGTGTGAAAATAGTACATGAAACACTAGTAAAGTTTTTTTCGCTTAGTTCTCATAAAAACTCCAGATAGAGTGCAAGTATTCTGTTATGAGGCTTACAACAGAATGTTTTCAACTGAACCATTGCTTTCTCACCAAAGATTATTGGATATTAATTAGCGACTATGCTAATATGAGGAATCTTCTTAGATCTTGAAATGCTAGTTTTCTAGAAAACCAGTTTTTTTTAGACTAAAGTACATGCCGTCAAAGCGGTATTTGATCAATTCAGCTGATAGAATATATCGAGTTGTCGGCAAGTCAAAAATCTTTTCTATTTTCTAAAAATGAATTTTAGGTAAAATGAAATCATCTCGAAAATTTTGACATTGAAATATTGATATGTATCAGTTGCGAGAATTAAAACGGCTGTATTTTCTGCAAGAAAAAAACTATTTGTCATAGAAAAAATTCCTATTTTCAGAACAATTTGAGATACTCTATAATTTTAATAGATCAGAAAATAGTTTTGGCGAAAAGTTTTTGCCTAAAAAACTAGTAAACACTCAAAAGAATTTCTCATAGCCATATTTGAAATCAAGATAGTCAATAATCTTTCATTAACTAGCTTTTGTTATATATCGTCTTATTTTTTCTTTTCTTTCAGATTAGTCACACACCAATTTCAATATGAGTTGCCAATTTCACGCTATGATTTTACATGTAAGTACAATCATTCTATCGATGACAAAATCGAATGTGAGGTAAAACTAGCCTATATCACGACAGTCTAAAACCGATTTCTATTTTTTTAAATTAGTGAATAATCTAACACTTTGCAAATTCTGCTTTGCACTGCAGGAGTTCTAAGTCATATCGAAACTAATGTAAAGTCCCCGACATATTAAAGAGTGGGCTAGAAGTTCTGGCTCGATTTGTATAATAAATTTTTCTTTAGTAAAATGCGTGGTTGAAAATTTGTTTCTATGAAGAAAAGATGCAGTAAAAGACACTATACAAATTGATTATTGATTGACTCCGCTAACTCATCTAATAAGAAAGTTATAGGCTTAGAAATGTGCTTCACAAAAAAGAAAAAATAACCGTGAACTCAGTCTCGATATTTGTGCTTTTACTCCTGTTCCTTAGGTCCCCTAGAACAAATTCTCGTATCAATAGAAGTGCCATGAAATTCTCTATAAAATTATGCTTAAAGCTCAATTTCAGAGCTTCAACCAAGGAAACTAAGCAAATTATACACGAGGCGAAAAAAATGAAAACTTTGTAAATTTGGTATTTTTTTCGATTTGAACTTTTTCTACTCCTATTATTCACGACAAAAGCGGTAGAAAAAGTAAGAACTCAGTTTGTGTTTGGTACTTTCAAATGTGCTCTTTCTCGTGATCTATAGAAAAATTTCTTTTTAGCACAGATGGAGTGCGCAAGAACCAAATTCCAAAAATACTTGAAAAATCGGCAACTCCATTTACGACAGAGTACTCAGCAAGAAATGAAAAATGTGATTGAAGTTTTGATCTTGCAGCTAGGTATATAAGAGCAATCATTTCTGATCAAAACAAAACAAATCCGATCGAAAAAATCTTTTGTTTTTATGAAGTTGTGCGACTTCTACTGAAATCATCACAATATAGACCAGGTTCACGGTTAATTTTTCTATTTTGTGAAGCACATTTCTAAGCCTATAACTTTCTTACTAGATGAGCTAGCCGGGTCAATCAATAGTCGTTTTTTAGAGCGCCTTTTACTGCATATTTTCTTCAAAGAGACAAATCTTTCAACCACGCATCTTACTAAAGAAAAATTTATTATACAAATCGAGTCAAAACTTCTGGCCCATTCTTTAGAAGACCCAGGGTCTTCTATTATGTCCCTTGAAAATGCCATATTTTTTGGTAGGCTCAATGAAAGTTTTTTAATTTCAATCCGTTTATATTCAATCCACAATTAGTAAATAAGTTTTTGCTACTTATTTGTATTTGTATGATGAAAATGAAACACAATATATCAGGACAAAAAAAAAATAAAACAAATCATTGATAAGAAGAATGTTCTTCGAATAATACAATAGATTATACACCATAATCTGTATACGATTTATGATAGCATTGTTTTCAAACAATAATACAGATCACTCGCAACATTTATTATTCTTTATAACTAAATTGTCCAAAGAAAGAAATTAACATTTTCTTAATCAATGTCTTGTAAGTCAGCGGCTTATGTCGATCTTTGAGTAGTGTAGATGAAATCCAGTCAAACTGAAATGTATCACGAACTTTATTATTAATTTTTAGCTCACTTGAATACATAAGAGCGACAACGACCAAACAATTTATAGAAAAAAGATCGATTGAATACACATTGTCCGATGCTTTTAGGCTCCTTTGAGTCTCTGTCCAAAACGACTTTCGCTCTTGTTGCGACTAGAAATTTATTCTCAGACCTACAAGGTGTACCTCATAGGACAGGTCCGAATTCATAGTCTGGAAGATACGCTTCTCCAGTTAAGAATATGGTCTTCCGTGTCAAAAACGCGCCAGAAACTCTAGAAGAAAGTACATAGACGGAGCGTGGTTTCAAATAATAGACAAATCAATCGTATAGAATGTTTCTATTTGAGAAAGATCTCTTCATGTATGACACGTTTAGACACGTATCGTGTTAATCATGCCCTATAACTAGGCTATGATCGTTTTAGTTCAAAAAGCGTAAAAGAATCCTTCAGAGCGTGCTCTCAAGCCATACAAGACCGTTAAAATAACTCGTAAAAACGTCATTATCTCATCCCTTGTATGCTTGTGTGCAGAGAAGTATTAAAATGCTCGCATATCATGTATTTTAATTTAAAAAACTCAGCTCCATTTAACCATTCTTTCCTATTATTATTTTCTCATGAATATTTCCACTCGCAGCTGACACCACTAAGTCAGCGAAATCAAAATATTGGTCATACTGAGGATAGATGTTAGCATACGTATTTACGTAAATATTAAAAAATTGCTACATTGCAGAAATCAGTAAAAAACTAATTGTCAAAGGAGGAGGGTCTTCTAATATGACTTCTGCTTCTTTTATTCGAGGGGGGGGGGTCTTCTAATGTATCGGGAGCTTTAGTGTGTTATTAATCTGAAAGAAATGAAAAAAAAATACCAATATGCATAAGAGCTAAAAAGTTGAAACTTTACACATAATCCTTGGTAGGTCTAAGCATTATAACGCAATACTTGTACTCAAACTATGACTTTTACACAACTCAGACGAAAAAACTTTTCTAGTATTCTATGTGCTAAAACATAGACTTGAATCATTCTAAATTAAATTTGATATAAACATTCGTCGATCGTTATGTTCAAACTTGAAACATTAAGGAAGGTGACTGGCATTAGCAACATAACCGAATGAAAGTTCGAGGAAACTCAGCCCTCTCTCCCCTTCACTTTATAAACAGTTGAGTCCTGCTTAAAAAGTGGCTTGCCAATAGAGATGCAATTATTAATACTATTACTTTGTGAAAGTGAACAAAAACAAAAGATTCAACATAAGTTTAAGGAAGCAGATACTAAATTAAACTTTTATATAAAACTAAATCAGCTAATTGTTAAATAATTTCACGATGAGAAATCAATAGGGTATGCTATTTAGCTCTTTCAAGCAAATATTACATTTATTGTATCATTTGTTTATCAGTAGTGAAGAGAGTGTTTACTCTATACTAAACTATTATGATCAGTAAGATCATACTAGTCATAGATCGCTTCACCTATCACTTCATGCATACCCTAGTTGTAAGCACTGAGTTTAGAATCTCTGTGAATTTCGACAAGCTTCGCCTGGATACTCTCTATAAGATATCCGGCTACTTAGTATGTTTTAGAACTTTGTTCAGGTGCCCGAAACGGATATTTGTATATTTCAAAGAGTCATGTACTAATAACATTTTCATAGATTAGTCCACTGAACAATCAGAAGTACTTTGAAAGCAAACATTATAATATCAAACAACTACCCAATTACACTAAAAGATTCCCACGACATTCTAGTAGCAAAATATTTAAAGAATACAGAGAGTATTGTAAACTCAGTATTATTTCAAAATAATATTATATCTTCCTTTATTGACTAAGTGCAATATATATATATATATAATACAATAGCTGACGTGTCGAACGTAAAAGGTTCATCTTCAGAATGAAAAATTGTTCTTAAACACAATAAATATAAAAATGAATTGTCTTCGTGTAATTATTGTCTATTATATTCACATTTTTTCATTGTTCTTTTTGTTCATTATTCTTCTTAATTGTTTTTCTTTCTTCTTTTGAAGTCTATTTAATACTGGTATGAATAAGACGGTAAAACTAGTGCGTGAAAGGTAAACTTTCTTCGTTCCTACCAGTATTAAATAGACTTGAAAGGAAGAAAAAAAAACAATGAAGAAGAACAATGAGGAAATGCAAATATAATAGACAATAGCTAGAAGACAACAGTTCAATTCAATGTTTATTATGTTTAAGTACAATTCTTCACTCCGAAGAAGAGCGTTTTACGTTCGAAATACCAGTTATTGTATTATATATATATTAGATTTAATTAATAAAAGAAAAAATAATATTATTTTGAAATGATTGATACGATCTTCCTCAAGCGTAATGAACTAAACCAAGTACATTCACTAGAACATTTTTTTCTCTTTCTTTCGATCATAAGATTTTAATGTCATTATTTTAATCTAAATATAATAAATTGGTTGAATAATTATTTTGTTTTTATTAAAAAACAATACTGACCCCGCTGTGTTTAGTACTTTCGCCAGCGCCTATTTATATCTTATACTTTTCAAATGATGAATTTCTAACTTTAAATAAAACTTTTCAATATAATGTAAATTTGGCTTCATACATGCATATAACTATGATATCCACTCAAGTAAATCTATAATCATCTGACTTAATCTAACGATTAATTCTATTGATTATAATTAGTTTTCATTTTATGTATAATTGAATTTTATTATGCAAATGATCTTAGAATATTTTGCTGGGCTGTTAACAATTAGAATACAAATAGAAGATTATTTTCGTATGACTCAATATCCAAGAAATCTTCCGAATTAATCATTATACATTGAATTATACTTTATCAAAGGATGTTTTAGCTCATAATCAAATGGACAATAATTCAAAATTCAATAAAATATTGGTGCATGTGTCTTTTAAGTTTATATCATGCTTTTTTTCTTACATTGAAATAAAATATAAGAGTTAGTGAGAGAGAGAGAGACAAGAAAAAGCAAATATCAACTGGAATTTTTTTGTTTATTGGAAGAATCTTCTATTTGTGAATATATATATATGTTCGTTCTTAGTTTTTCTAATCACATAGGAAGATTTCGTTTGCTTCGATAGCGTGACATTGAAAGAGGTCGAGGTCGGTGTATATGATAATCATAGCCATTGACATAATATCGACCTTCAGCATCTAACATACGATGTGGATTTGATACACTGTTTGACCAAAGTAAATTATGAAATGCACGTTTGCCAATCCGTGGAAAAAAAACACTACGTTGTTCCATCAATCGTAATTCATTATCATAATTGTTATGTTCATCGTAATTTTCTTCACTACTAGTACTTGTATTAACATCAAAAAGAGAAGAGATCTCTTCACTTGTTAATGGTGAACGACCAATACGCGGAAATTTTGTTGTACGAACATACCGATCATAATATGAAGGTAAATTTAATCCTAATTGTTGGTCGATTTGATTATTTGTTAATTCATTTGAATCAACAATATAAGCGCACTAGATAATATATATAATTAATATGAATTAATATATAAAAATTAACTTACAGATGATTTAAGGAAGATTATCATTAAAATATAGAAACAACTCATGTTTATTGTCATTGATGATGATAATGGAATGAACATGATTAGTTTTCAAAAGAATATTAATAATTAAAGATTTTATCTAGTAAAAGATATACAGTAGATGGAATTCTAAAATGAATCTTCTTTTATATTGATTCAAAAGTAGTTATGGAAATGAGATTTAGTCAAGAATACTAAAAAGTGTAGGAGGAAATGATAGGCGATATAAACATTGATGACGACGAAGAAAAAAAGAAAAAAAGAGAATAGATGTATTGTTTTCTTTTTTTGAACAAATAAGAGAAAGCGAGAAAGGACTGTCTTTGAAATCGGAAAAGCAATCGATCGAGAACGATTCATTGTTAGTTCGATCGGAAATATGGACGTACATATTTTGTTCAATTAACTCAATTTTGAAAAAGTTATGCTTAATGATTCTTTGTAACCGTTAATATCAATAATAAAAGTACTTACTTTTTATTCATATAGAAAAAAGATGACTCTGTATCTGATAAGATTTTAATTTAAATATCAACACAAAACTGATTCAAAAAAATACGAATACCATATAAAAATGCATAGGAATTTTTCAAATTCTATTAGAAAATAAATAAAAACATTTATAGCAAACAAAAGAATAGGAAACAAATTTTATATATATGCATCCTTTATTAATTATCAAAGAGAAAAGGAAAATATAATGGAAGAATAATTGATAATGCAATTTCATAAGAAATTGAAGACAAGATAGAGTATTAGCATGATTGACAGCTCATGATAATTGCTTTGCTATATTTATAAGCGAATATACTCTATGTAACTTTATATATATATATATATGCGTAGGCCGGCCAATTCACTAATATTTTCTTTTAAACACCTTGCAACTAATGCATGCAATGTCCTATATTATAAAATTATTTCCTTCCGTTTCTATTACATCCAGATAGAGTAGTTTTATTTTAATTACAATTATATTAATGATTTCAATAGAATATGATTTTGAAACTTTATTGCAGATGATTGAAGCAATGCTATTGAATAAAAGACACAAAATTGTTATTGATATACGTTTCCGAGCTTTTCTTGATTGTAACAAATATCCTTCATAAATCTTTCTTTGTATTGTTAAATGTAAAAAAAGATTTCCTTCAATATGAGCGTACTCTTTGTAACTACAATAGTTTATCTTTCAAATTTCTTATACTTATTATCACTGTTTCAGATAAACGAATATTTGAAATTGAACAACATTGATCCAACTTAATGGGTATTAAAACGAGACAAAACTGAAATTATTCATAGTTGCCAACATCTTGATTCATTACGAAAGATTTCAAATGATGCACAATTCCATTTACTTTAATTAGTTTTTTCTCTCTTCATTATTCACAATTATTAAAAAGTTTGTGAAAGTATGTAAATATTCTCTAAAGAATTGTATTTCAATTTAAAGAATTCTGACAAAGAGAAAAGAAAAAAAATCTTTTTTTCCAAAGTTTAGAATCTAGAATAATTTTTCACTATGAAGGAATTTATTTAATGTCTTGTAGGTATTTATATATGATAGTCATTTCTTGCAAATTACTCGAATAAGACAATGTATGTTCTCAAGACAATATCTACAATAACTAAGCATTAGTTTTGATTTTGAGAGATGTGAAAGTCTTTTCGGAAAAGAACGGATCTATCTTAACGGTTATTTTGAACGGAACTGATGTAGTTCAATGGCTTCTTTGAACGGAGCTGAACTGTCTCAAAAAATCTTTTTCTTACAAATAAGACAAAATTGTTTCGCAATTAGGAAAAAATATCCTCAAATATAGCAAAACTATTCTGTTATTCAGAAAATGTTTTTCATAAGACAAGAATTTTGTTCTGTTTATGGAAACATAATTTTTTGAGACAGTTCATTTCAGCTCAAACGAACTGTCGAAACGTGTCAATTCTTATTAAAAGAACGATCGGAATATTCCTTTTGAGCAGTTCATCTGAGTTTGTGAGCTGAGAATGTCGCAAATCTAGCTAAGATACGATGATTTAACATTTCAATATATCTCAATTATCGACATACTATAACCGATATTTTATCACGTTACCGAACAGTATTTACAACGGTTGCTCAAATTCTATCAATCTCAGTGACAAATAATGAAGTTAAAATCAAGATTACTTTAGACTATGAGCTAATAATTCTGATTTTTGCAAGAAAATATAGTTTATTGGGTAATAACCAAATTAAAATTGACTACAATCCTGTAATTGATTATTGAAGCATTAATCAGATCCCAGTTGAAAGTCAATTATAATTTTTTAAATCAAATAAAATCTCATGCTTATCAAATGTGATTGAGAGCTTTTCAATTGATTAGAATTGTTATTCACCATTGATTCAGATCTATACTTAAGACCGATTATAATGTTACTAATCGATTAAAATCTGAATCTGATCAAATCTGATGGAAAGATTTTGAAAGGTATGAATATCGATTTAGATTTGAGTTGAAGTGAGGGGTGGTTGGTGTGCATAGATGTGGACGAAGGGAAAAACTATTCCATTCTCAACCATTCTATACCTACCCACTGACCTTGGTCTACTTATTCTTTCATGCAACGAACGTTTTCTAAGCCAGTTCATTTTTGTTGAGCCTCACCGTCGAGCTTACACCTGGCCACATTGTTAAACGAAATTTTGTGTGAGATTTCCTCGTAAAAGCTGAGCTTTCGATTTCGAAAAATACGCATCACATAGAAAAAACTTTAGATAATGATATAGCGAGAAAAAAATATAAAAGTCAATTAGCTCGTAGTGTATTGATTTAAAAATGACTTGTTCACCTTTCAGAAAACGTTCCTTACTTGTACAAAAGATGAATTGCTAATTCTGAATCGGTTCTTAGTCGACGGATGATTATCGAATAATTCTTTCAAAACTTCTTTCAATCATTGATTATATATTTCATAAGCACTTTGTTGAAAATCACATAAAAAACCATTAACATACATTTGAGTCCCGGTTGTCACATCAGAGTTATCTCTCAGTATCCGGAAAATGATGTTATGCGTCGCGCCGATATCGGTATTGGATGATTGTTCAAGAAATCGTAGATCAGCAGTATTTGGGCAGATATTGTTGTAGCACAAACCATTCATACAATTCATCCTTCCTATCGATACATTGCAGGATCAACTGCACGAACGCATTTGCCAGTTGATTGAAGGATCACTTTCAAAATTTCCATTTAGAATCAGATTTGTTGCTGGATAGCTGCTATCTACTACGCTTGCATTATTGACCAACCAGTTTCTAGGAGATGTAGCTGTGACGCTGGTAAAGTGAAATGTAGTTCTATTTGATATAGTCGAATAGGAATGCGAATATTGTGTTCAATAGATTAGTGGCATATTGACAATCGATTCAAGTAAGCCGAAGGTAATATAGCGAGAGGCAATGGCTAGAAAGAGATAGGAAAATTTTCATGGTATCTTCTCCTTGAAACAAAGTCAATCAGTAGGTATAGCATATTTTTTAGCTCTTTGGAAGTGTACCTTGAGGAACAGCGTAATTGCTTTAGATTCTATGAGAAAAACCTCTTCTAGTCATGCTCCACTGAGAACCGAACAAACAGAGTCGATTTTAACAGAATCTTGCATGAAAAAGTGCTCATTTAGCAGCAAACGGTACAGTTATATCGAAACAGTAAGGCACTGCGGACTGATCTGGGAAGATAACAACTACGAAGATACTTCTTTCTACCAATTGTTTCTAGATCGATCGCTGAGTAATACTGGAAAAATTTAGAGTACTAAGTTGAATCTGGGGTGTAAGTATAGGCGTGTGGGTGAGTGCGAGACTTTTTTCACCAACGCCCACACCCACCTGCTTCTAACACAAGTGTTTCTGAACTACGAATATACTGAGATTCGAAAAAAAGTTTTGTAGACGATTGTGTGCAATTATCCCATTAGCAGAAATATCTTAGGCAAAACAGAAATTGCATCCATCAAACATTGTCATTTTGTAAGCGATGCATAATTTATTCACTTTGATACGTCATACGCTGGAAAAGCAGAAATTGGGTAATAAGTGTTTTTTTAGGTAGTAAACTGACTGTATTCCATTGAAGAGTGATATTTTGATATTTTCGACCAAGTATTTGTCAACAATGCTTTTTAGCAGATCATAATCAATTTACAACATTTGTTACACCTCTCAACTGCACGAAAATGCTAAGCTCTCTACTAAACTCAGTCTTCAAACACAACAGAATGATCTATGAGCGAGGGGTGGACCATTTCCCCACTTCATAGAGAAACCGTTCCACTTCTAGAAGAAATGGTTTAACCTCAAATAGATAAGCAGAAATTTTTTTTTCAACATCGAATTCTCCTTCAATACAAATCAATACTTCACTATATACCATAAGAAATGGTTATTTTTTAAGACGAAATCCTTCATCCACATCTCCAGTTTCAAGGCGAAATGGAAATAAAGTGTAGAGAAATGCATAATTTTTCTACTAGAAATGGATATTTCTATTGGAAATGGTTAATTTTCAAAGAGAAGTGCTTCATCCATATCTCCATTCACAAGGAGAAATCGAAAAGACTTAGAGAGAAATGGATTATTTTTTTTTTCTTCTTAAGGGATGTTTCTAGTAGAAATGGATATTTTCCATTGGAAATGGTTAATTTTCAAAGAGAAGTGCTTCATCCATATCTCCATTGATAAGGAGAAGTCTAAAAGACTTAGAGAGAAGTCGATCAGTTGATCTTCTTTCTTTCCATTTCTCCTTGTTGAACCATTTCTCTCTAAAAGAAAAACCATTTCCCTTTAAATTCAAGTATATGCACAATATCATAGAATAGATTATNCGCCATTTATTCAGTTTGAAAAGTCCTGTCGAGTGGTATATGAAGAATTACTTCAACCAAATCTCATGTGTCTTCATCACTCGAAAAATCAATGAGTAATACTCAATTTTCATTTAACATAACCTTGATCGGCAACGAAATAACGAATAAAATATACTAATAAGGTGTTTTAATAGATTCTTTTTTGCTTATAACAATTGGTGCTAAATTAAATCCTCTATCTAATGAGATCAATTTGGAATGAGAACAATATTGTTGTAGAAAGCATTTAGCAAGTTATCTGACAATATCGATGACACTTTTGACGATGAGGAACTAAGATTAGTCTTTCTGACCTTTACGATCTTAGACATTATCAATCCGATCTGAAATTACTATCGAATGACAGATCCAGTGTAAATCTCTGCATCTATACATATTAATAATCTCAGTAATGGATAGATTTGTGGTGTTATGTGCCCTCGTTCTTTTTTTTTATTTCCGCAGGTTGTACTGAGATTCAGGTCGATGGGGACGTTTATCCATTACTACATTATTAAGTTCGAAAAATAAAGATGTACTGTCATAAATGTAGTTACTGCCTAAATTGATTTACCATGCAAGATCACAAGTTGACATTAATTTTTTCCTTTGTGATTTCCAATACGACAATTAATGAATAATTTTATCAGTATAACGATTGATTTCTTTTACTCTTGTTCTTTTTTTTTAACCTTATTCATTGATAAATAAAAAGATGAGATGAAATAATTATTTTTAAAGTTCCTTCAGATCTTTATTACTCTTAGAGAAAAAAAATAGAAATTTATTTTGACATTTAAATTGACATGTACGCAATCAAAAACTAATTCCTAACGATTCTTTGATTGGACAGAACGATGTTCTCTGAAAGAAACACATATTGCGTGATTGTAGATCTTTTTTCTCTGTACTAAGAACAATGTCACCATGTCACTGACAATGTTTTATTATTGTACTTTTCATATAATTTATGATTGACTGACTCTTTATTAAAAGGAACTTCCACATTTCTTTTAATTTTCCTAATTGTCTGCCAAAAAAAAAAACTAATTACATGGATAAACAAACCTGTAAACAGTATTGAAGAAAATCTTCCTTATATACAAGGCCATTTCCATGAATATCCCAAGCCTAATATATTCAATAAAAGCTTTAAAAAAAGGCTCAATTAAAATATTTATTCTACGCACATGAACTAATTCATCTGTTCGTTCTTCAATAGCATTTATAACTGGTGTATAATTAAGTTTACTAACAGGAACAATAAGTTGAAAAATTGATGCAGCCAATTGAAATAGTTCCTAGCAGAAGAGGAAAGAAAATTTTAAAACAAAAGAAAAATAAGATTATTTTTTTTAACCGTTCTTGTTACTATTCCATCTTTATTTATATCGTATAAATCAAAAATCCAACCAAGACGATCTTCAATGGAACCATGAACAAGTAAAGAAAATGTTGTAACAAGATCTTCGAATCGAATTATATTTGTATTTGCTCGGTCAATATTTTGAAAAAGAAATATCGCATAACGATAACATTCTCAAATAATAGGAAAATTCTTTTTTTTCTCCGATAATTAAAGAAAAAAGGAACATACCACCAGTGGGAAATAATGTTGTAAAAACGGAAGCAAAATGTTCTTTGCTTACTTGTCCTGATGGACTATCCTAGTTTAATTTACCAGAAAAATTTAGTAAACTTAATCAAAGAACTTTACTTGTTTAAATGTTCGATAGAGATGACGAATTTCGTCTTTAGAGAAATTAGTTTTTTTCATTAATTCCGTTATTGAGCAAGTTGGTCTTGATATAGGATGAACTGGTGTAGCACTTTCTATAAATAATTATCCATATGTATATATATATCTATATATTAACTCTTTATCTTTTTATTTTTTACTAGAAAAAAGATATGAAAAATTTTCTTTTACTTGCGTTACTTCTTGAACCCGGATTGGGTCGACAATTTTTATTAAATGTTTGGATAGATGTCTCGACTGCTTGCCACATCTGTATTTTTCTTGATCAATGTTTATACATACATATATATATATAGACATATATATATATATGTATGTATCTGTTTAGGAATAAGAAAAAGATTGAGTCCTATTATATGAATGTGTATGTGTGTATATCTGTGATCAGCAAGAAAAAAATATACGGAAGAAACGAATCTCAGGAGATATCGAAAGAATTATGATAATAAGATTAGTTGAAAAATTATCTCTTACCACTCTCAGCTTTGTAACTATCACTATTGTGACGTCCACCTGCCGATCGTACGGCATTCATTAGTACAATCTAAAGTAACATACATTTTATTGTTAACAATAAAACTAAACAATAGAAATAATAGTAATAAAATACTTTTTATTTGAATGCTGAATAAAATCAGGTATTTTTTTTCTATGTTCTTCTTTCCTTTGTTCACATTCGAAGAATCACCTTTTTTTTCCTAGCCGTTGTTTTCGTAGGTGCACATTTTCTGCATAGAGCATTTCTGCTCAAAAAAACTTGGAATAACCTGCCTTGTTCTTTTTTCTTTACACAAAAAAAAATTAACTCCTTTCGGCCGCATATATAAACAATCGACAAATCCCATAATATTAATATTTTACATAATTATAGTTTTGTTTGCTTTCTTCAAAGAGAACAATACGATCTTGAACCAACTTTTGCCTATAGTAGAATAACATAAAACCAGACAAAAAAATATATTTATACAGAGTAATGGTAAAATTAAAGTTAGTAATAACAATTGGTTTCAATTACATATTGCATCGGTTAAGAAAGGTTACGGGTAGCTAACTCTTGTTAATAATATGCTATGTAATAACGTTGGCGCCTTCGCATATTTTCTATATGCTAGTCTAAATGCTAAGCGATCCGATAATTGTCGTAGTTACTACTGATGAAAAGCTAGAAAGAACAGAATAGGCGGAAAAGTCATCAACATTTCCTATCAAATGCATAAACTTGTTGACAAACAAACCAAACATTTACTGTATACATATATGCTATTAAATATATATATACACATATGCTTAACTAATGGAAAATATTTCGATGAATGACAGTTATCTTATATCGAATGGAATTTTATTTCTAAGTATTTTTAATCAATTAAGATTTTTTTCATAATAAATTTTGTTTATTATTTCAAATCCAGTTTTCTAATTTTGTTGTACATATCGGTTGTTTCAATATTAACTTAATCAAGTTCAATACTAAATATAAAATAATTTGGTTTTCAAATGTTTTTTCTATCGAATCTGGTTATTGAATTCGGAAATTAATTTTAAATTAACTAATGGAATTCAAATGTTATACTATTATAAAACTTATAATTTCTTTTTGTCATAGTTCAATACCTAAACAGGCATCAATCAATTTCATTCTTTATAATTCATTGTTTACATATTTAATCATCTATAGTTAATTAAGATTTATTAGGACTATATTTCAGAATTAGTCTATTGAAATATAGAATAAAATGTAATAATGCAATAAAAAAAAAGTATTTAATCAATAATCATGACATTACGTAAAACTATGGTTTGAGAAAAACTAAAAATTTAATGACCAATATGGAACTAACATGTTTGAAATAATTTTGCTTTCAAACATTTCAACCATAATCTGTCAACTGCAGATCAGAATGCCGTATATAATACTTTTGATTCATATGCATAGGATTGTACAAAACAAAATTCTTAAAATTTATTTTTAATTCTAAATTTTTATTCTCATTTGTTTTAAAGTATGAAATGTATTCAGCATAGACTAACAATTATATATTTAATATTCATTATTGTCTTGAACATATTGCTCTATATGTTTATTAAAATTTCAATCGAAATAATACAATCAATGTAGTATACTTACTCATGATTTGATGTTAGCAAGTTATGAATTGAACTTTATTGTCAAATTAAAGGAATCTAACTGGTAATATCAAGTATGCTTGCATTTTTTTTTCTTGTCAGATTAATAAAACCATAGATATTTATGCACTGAAAGAAAACCGCAGACATGACCAACATCTTATTCTATGAGATTTTAGAGCATAGATAATTAAGTTCTTCTACTGATAGATAAAATCAGACATGCTCATTTTTATGTAACGTAAATTATTTAATAGTATTATATAGAAAGAACTGAAATTTTAACTTTAAAAATTTTCCAAAAAGAACGATAGATGATCAATATTAAAATAGATTGATCAACAATTATTTGTCACTTGTCTTTTTCAATTATGATGATAAAAAACATACTATAATTAATTTCCTTTCTTTGTCTTTTCCATCTCGATTGTTATTTGCATATTGTTATTGGTTTTTTTTTGCCTAGTTTTAGTGATGCATTCATCTTAGAAGTTCTTTGGAGCCATCAATCTATTTTTTCATTGTCATCTCAATAAGTGTATGAAAGAAAAAACAACACCGACTGAGCGTCACTTATTTTTTAGTTTGAGTGAATCCATAGTTATATATTGATATGTCATGGCTGATGCACAGCAGGAAAAAACATGTTCTTTCATATGACAATTAAATAACTCTCTAAAGAATGTATAACAATCAAACAATATAATATTGCAAATGACGAAAAAATAATATCCAAAGATCGACTTTGTCGTCATAAAAATGAAAAAAAGAGCATTATCATATTTGATAATTGTCTACCAGCCATATTGGTAAGACTCGACCAAATGAGTTTGTCTATGCCATAAATTGATTCTCGATAATAGGCTGATAACATCAAAGGTTGTATGTAATACGACATAACGAGAAATTATCGAATAGAATGTCATTTAGTGTTTGACCAAGCACAAAAGAAAACTGAAAGATACAAATTACGAATGAGATATCGTCTATCGTTAATTGACTAATGGAAATTCTACCATTTTAGAAGAAGACAACGGCAGAAAAATCATGCGTAACAAATCACTTCCTAATGGAAAACACGTATATATCGTTTAGTGTATAGTACTAATCAAGGGGAGAAAACAATGAGAATAACATCTGTTTGACATTGAGAGACAAAGAAAAAAAAACGGCAAGGATAGATGGAAGTTTATCAGCCACATCGTTATTGACGACATTTCTGCCAAAAAAACCTAGAAGAATAAACTATTTGTAACAAACCTCATATAGGCAAACATTGGTTTGTTTGATCGTTTTCTGACTATTTGAAGAGTGATAAAGTGTTGACAGAATCGGACAAAGAAAGTGTTCGTTCGATTGTTTCATATATATATATATATAAAACTATGTATAATCATTAGTACGGATTTGACAATATACAAAATTATGTGTATATATTACAGATGGACAGATTAGCAGAAATAAAGGAGATGAATAATGGTGGACATGACTGATATGACACATACAAATGCACATCTGGCTCCCATTAATAGATATTTATGAATCTGTATATAATAGTAGTTATGTCAACATTTTTAAAAAGTTATAAATGTGGCTCTTAGTCGTGTTACGCTGTTAAAATGACTCGTGTAAATTATTCTTTTTCTAGCCAAATAATCGAGAATTCAACATAGAAAAGTTGTACGTACTTTACACTGTTTTCTATAATATCTGTCTCTTTTTTTTATTATCGTTTTCTTTCGTTCATGAAAGCTCATTATCATGCAAATGCGTGACAAAAACGGAAGAACGAAAAAAAAAAACAAAGAATCAAAGACGAGACTGTACAAAATACAAAGTACGTTCACTCATTCACATATCATCTCGGCCAGCACCGATACCACCACCAGTGTCAAACAGGCGTACACTCACCTGTCTTCCACCACCTGGACCTGTTCTAGATGATGACGGAATAACTGCTGATGAAACACCTGATCCAGTCGTCGAAGCAGGTCCACCGGTTCCACCGCCACTACCAACACGTTTATAAAATTGCCATAATTGTTGTATTAATTCAGTGACAACTAAATCACTTGAATTATAAGCAAGAAGTCTCAGTATCAGTACACCATCATGTTGTAAATAGCGATGAATAAATTCTTTAGCTGGCGTTCGTCGTAAATGTGTGTCACTTTGCATTAATTCCAGACGTTTTTTTATATAAGCATAACGTACACGACCGAATGAACGTACAAACCATGCTAATAAATCATAGGTATTACACATAGTTAGAAAAGCAAGCCAAAACCAAATAAATAAAAATGCTTTTTCATTAAATAAATTGATCGGTAGCACACACTAATCAACAAACAAAATAACAATATATTCTTTTTATTTTCTTCTTTTTTTTTGCAATCTTACCTGTACGGTATGAACATGAACATTTTGTATATTTCTTACAGCAAATTCACACATAGTTACACGTGGAAAATAAATTGATTCAGTAAGTTCTTCTCCATTTAAAATTTTTCTTATTAAATCAAGTCCATAGGATGCAAAATTATGACCCAAAAAGACATTTAACAAAAATAATTGTCCAACAGAATTGACAATAAATAAAATTTTGGTGACAAAAAAAAGTATTAACAAATAGGAACCCATACGACGTCCAGGTACACATAGAATAAATGCTAGAAAACGACGTATAAAATCAAAACGTTTATGTTTTCGTTTACGCATATAAACATATTGATCAATTGAACGCGTTAAATAAGTCATGATTTTATTACGATCTTCAAAACGATCAGCTGTTTGATAATTTAATGCTGCATCGACTAGATTAACAATATTAATACCTGATTTAGCTGATAAAGAACGCCACAACATTCGTGGCAAATAGAATAAAACAGCTTGAAAAAGCAAAATAAATGGAGTCCACTGGTAATACTAGAAATAGACAAATAACAAAGTTACAATTAAAACATAGAAAAATCTAATCTGATTTTGTATTTTGTTTTTAATTACTTTAACAACACGAGTTTTTTTCTTATTTTCGTCTAAAGGTAAAGTTTCAGCAGTTGCAACATAATATGTATTGGATACCCAACATATATTATTTGAATAAACTTCGTATGAACGTGTAAA